CAGGCCATAAGGCTTGTTGAACGAGTAACCAGGGGTTCACCCGTAAGGAAAGTACTGGCATCTACTGGATGTCTCAAAGGCATTTGACAAGGTGTGGCACAAGGGCTTTCTCTACAAATTGATCCATAAGGGCTTCCCCTTCTGGCTCCTAAAACTTTTGAAATCCTTTCTCGAGGGTAGGAAATTTCGGATCAAAATTAATAACGTTCTATCGACAACACGGCTCATCAAATCTGGTGTCCCTCAGGGTTCGGTTCTTGGACCAGTCCCTTATTCACTTTTTATTCATGACGTCCCGTGCCCCAGCAGCTGTAAAACCTATCTCTATGCTGATAACACTGCCCTGGTGGCCCAATCGTGCTCTGGAGATCTAGTTCACGACAGGCTGCAAAGTGCAGTGGACGAGGTATTCGAATGGGCGAATCGGTGGCTGATCAAAATCAATCATTCGAAAACGCAGGCAATCTATTGTACTAAAAAACGTAGCGGCGCCCCGTCTGAGGTCTCAGTGAATGGAGCTCGGGTACCATAGGAAAGCTCTGCTAGGTATCTCGGTGTCACTCTTGACAAGAGGATAACCTAGCAGAAGCACACTGAAGCGTTAAAAACTAAATTCCAAATCTCGTTTCGGCAACTCTACCCTATGCTATGTAGAACATCAAAATTAAGTTTGATCAACAAAGTACGGCTATACACGATGGTTATTAGACCAGCGATCACTTACGCAAGTGCGGCTTGGTGTTTTCTCGCCAAAACGCATTTGCGTAGCCTGCAGGTTTTGCAGAACAGAACGTTGCGTACAATCACTAACGCCCCATGGTATGTTTCCAACGAGACCATTCACAGAGACCTTGACATCCCTTACCTAAGGGACTACATCAAACAATAAGCGCAGCTACGTTACAGTCAAGCAGAATCGCATAACAACCCTTCGTTGTCAGTAGACTACACAGTCGAGCAAGTTCACAAGCACACAAGGCCGCGACTCGCACTGTGAACAAAATTAAATCGTGCGACTTTAGGTCCAACCAAAATTATAATTTTTCTTCAATAACCGATCCCAAAATTAATTTTAGGATCAATTTAAAAGTTATTCATTATTATTAAAGGTTCCTACGGACCGCTCTGACAGACAATGACGAATAGTAGCTTGCTGTTTTTGCTTTCGCAGTGGTCGATTTTGGTAATAGATGGCACTTTCTGCTCGATAGACCTCACAGGTTTTGTATATACTTTTTTATAAGTTCTTACGGAAAAATTAAAGGAGGGCCAATTCATGGCAAGACATGGATGACTCATAATATGATTGAAATATTTTCCTTTGCAGCCATAATAGCCTCTTCTGCAGAACTGTTCACCTGTTTCCAAATACCAAAACTGTCCAATACATTTATGTAATGAACAAACCAGAAAAAAGATGCTCATGCTGAAATCACATGTAATATACTACGACACTGATAGACTGATCCATATTGCATAGGAATGCAATCCTGGGAGATAATAGGATGTAGCGATGGTGTACGACCACGTTTGTTCGTTTGCAGCCGGATGTCATCGTGATAATCAATCCCGCAAGGAGCGTAACTAGGTCGCACGGGATGAAAGGCTTTCGCTCCGTCATGGGCAAATTATTGACCAATCACCACACATCACCATCAATCGCTATATCAGCAGTTTAATTACAACTGATAATTTCGTCGACTAGGCATTTGGATGGATTTATTTGATGATTAATGATAACTCTCCAATCAGGGCACAGCGTTGGAAATTATGGTATTCGGCAGGGACGGCATCGAATAGAGTAGTGGATCACAAGACTGGTATAAACTTAAGCACAATCTCAGATGCTAATCGACGTGTTTTGGAAAAAAACTAGATAATGCAGAATGTTCACGCATCATTTGTTACTCCGTCTTTAAGTATAGCGGATTATTAAAGTTTGCTGAATTCTACTGCTGCTTAAGGAACAATCCCTAATAATAGTAAATCTTCTTGGAACGTTAAATTACCCTTTAAAAAGTAAAGCAATAATTTTAAGAGGGCTTGTTTGGTATATGGCTCAATACTGACAAGGAGAGGTCGTCATTACTCATGACAGTATATTATTCCCTTACTGTATATAAAATCCAACAGGCAGTCTCATTAAACCTGGAGCACATTAAATCAAGTCAGATGCGTCAAATCAAGGTTTCCTAAAAACGGTATTTTTGAACTCACAGCGGCACAGGTCCCAATGCATAAACGAGCCGTCATGTACCACTACATTCCCTGAGCCTCCAGCTCCGACCTTCTAGCAAAGTTAAGGATAGCCCTGGGTCTCACCTCTCGAAGTGCTGGACCCAAGTGTAACAGCTCAGAGCCTCGCAGAGGCACAAAACACGCGCCAAGGACTCTCCCCCCCTGCAGCGCTCACACATCCTCAGACACCCCCATCACACCCAGGTGACGTCTTATGGCCAGACAACAGTCCCACCAACAACCTGGATCTGCCCGACGACAAGCAAAACCGTCCATCTTAACACTGGGCCCTACGATGAGCTCCCGTGCCTGACAGAGATATCTACAGATGCTTAAAGGATTCTCCATTTCAGAGAGTGTCGTATGACTAACAAACTTGCCCGTTGATCCTGCCTTCCTCCGTTGTATAAATATTCTTGAGCTAGACATTGCACGAAATACTGTTGAGGAAAGAAATTTTGTGGGTGAAATCCATGTTCCAGTCCTAAACATCCCCTTTGTGAGAAATCCTATTTAATTTTAAATATTTTAAAAATGTATCATCATTAATTACAATCTATAAGCACTTTACTTCAGAAAGATTTCAATCTGGAGCGGTAAATCGCAATGTACAGTTGTACTACCCTGTATAATAGCCGTAACCGTAATACTCCTTTTGTGATCAAAATCGACTTTGAGATCCGAATAATATAAAATATACGTATAACAGAAATAGGCAGATCACTGCAGCATATCGAGACTAAAGCAGTATTAGCGGAACATATTTTCTAAGACTCAACAGCTGGATCTGAATAAGACTTTCAGGCTCTCATAAGGGATAGTCAACTACAACTACAGCCATCAATAATTTCAACTTTGTCCAATGTTTAATCAATGTTATGTATTCATCATGGACTTAGGATGCTGGTCCAGCAACTATGAAAAATTACGTCAATCATAAACAACAACTCAAAGCGAGTGCTCTGAAAACGTCACTTTCACAATCTTTACTAGAAGCAACAGTAACCAATCGTTACATTATTTTACTAAATTTCACCACTGTAAAAACTAACATATACCAATATTCTTATTTAATACATTTAATGTTTACAGGTTTCGACTAAAAGAGTTCTTCATTATGGAGTTTGTTGAATGAAATCCGCCCTACACAGTTTTGATGGTAAGCCATTTTAAAATAGAATAAATGAAAAAATATGAAACAAAACTAATTTTCTGCGGCGCGGTATATTAGGAAGAAAAGCAAAACAAATTATCGAAGAGATAACAGTTCGAAGTATTTATGTTAATAGCAGTCAATTTCACTCAGTTGCAGGTGAAACGAAATAACCACAACCGCAGAGCATATACATACCTTTTTCTGTCCTCAATATTCCTTATATTATATGAGATGTAAAGGAAAACTCTCGCAACCTATCAAGTATGAAACTGGCATTAGACAAGGAAATTCGCTGAGCCCACTAATATTCATTCTGATAATGGATGAAATCAAAGGAAATGCAGATAATATGCTACGCCGACGACGCCATAAGAATAGCCGAAAATGAAGATGACCTACAAAGGTTAATTAAAGAATTCGAAGATACGGCGCTCATATACAACATGGTGATTTCAACAGAGAAAACTAAATCGATAGTGATATCAGCGGAACCGAGACGATGTAAACTGGTTGTAAATCACAAAATAATAGAACAGGTGATGGAAACGGAACACTTGGGAATCAGACTGTGAAGCTATGGAAAAGTGGAAGAAGAAGTATAAAAACAAGTGAACATGGCGAACAGAGCAGCAGGATGTCTCAACAATACAATCTGGAGAAGCAAATACCTCACAACGGAAACGAAAACTAGGATATGTAAATCAACAATAAGACCGATAATGACGTACACAGCGGAAACAAGAGCAGATACGGCGAAAAAACAAAGATTATTCGAAACTGCAGGAATGAAAGTCTTACGAAAAATAACAAACCAAACTCTAAAAGACAGAGTAAGAAGTGAGGAAATATGAGCGGGATGTGGTATAGAGGAAATAAACCTGTGGACCAAAAGAAGAAGAATAGAATCGAATCAACACATAGAAAGAATGACAGAAAATAGAACAGTACGAATAGCAAGAGACAAATCGCCAAATGGAAGAAGATCAATGGGACGACCGAGGAAAAGATGGTCAGACAACATCAATTGAGGCTAAAAACCGAAGTAAAACAGGCATGAGCCTATTAATAAAGTAGGAGGAAGAAGAAGAATATTCCTTACATCGTATCACTCTCAGGCTATGGTCCAAGTTACCCGATATCGTGAGATGCGTCCTTCTAGAGACAAAGCGAGTTGTCAAGGTGATCAATCACTTGTAGTACATACTTTGAACTTGCGCGCAACTCAAATAGCTCCCAGCATAATTCCAGAACAAAGTAATAGTAATATGTCTCTGGTAAACTTCGCGAAAGTAACACATAGCCGAATGCTTCGCACCCTTCATGCCGAGCAATTTGTATTCTAGAGTACAGCTAACTATGTCTTAACGTCTTTACAAGTGAATTTATTATAGAATATAATGTGTTAAATGGGGCAACGGTGGGGTGACACAATGATTGTGTACTAGGAAAGTGGCGTTATGTAAGAGAGTCGGTAAAAGCTTCGCGTTTTGCTTTAAATTATCAACTCATTATTTTTCAAATGGCTCTGCATGACCTGTACCTATAGTATTTAAAAGCTACGGAGCTGTTGCTCAGTCGCATAAGAATAGTTCCGCCACTTGTAATTATGGCATCTAATGCAGACTCCTGTGATTCCTGTAAAGACAACTTTGTAGTCAACTCAAAATACATTGAATGCAGTATATGTGAAGGCAGATATCATACAGTTTGCGTTTCGGTGAAGGACTCTTGGTTGAAGCTCTTTTCTGATTGGGTTAATTTTTCATGGAGTTGTGATAAATGTATTTTAAAATCCCAGTCACGTGAACAGCAACTGGCTTCTGAAATTGCAGCATTGAAAAAAGAGATCGAATTTTTAACACATGAGAAGAACTTGAGCTCTAAGATGATAGAGCAACTAGAATACACAAACAATCTCCAAAAATCAGTCATTGATTCGCATCAGCAACAAGCAGCTCATTCCACTATGAATTCAGTTATGCTACCTTCGAGATCAACTGCTTCCTCAACGCTAAGCTTTAGCGATACAGTCAAAAAAATACCGAACAGGTCTTCTGTCTTGCTAATTAAGTCTGACAGTAACTCTGGCAATAACGATATTCTGCGGGATGTAACAACTTCAGTAAATCCTGCTAAAATTAATGTTTGCATTAATAACACGCACAAAATAAGAAATGGAATTGCAGTTCACTGTCAAGATGAGAAGTCACTTACGGTTCTTAAGAATAGTTTGGATAAGGAGCTTGGGTCCAAATATTCAATCATGGAAGGTAGAAAACTTAATCCACGTCTCCTAATCAAAAACATTAACCTCGACGGTCTGGATTCGCCCGAATCGATAATCAATAATATTGTACCCTTAAACAATATTGATGACACGCATCAGTCTGACATAAAATTCGTTACCAAACTTAAGCATTACGAGAGCACAAATATCGTCATAGAAGTATCTCCTGACCTTAGGAATATCTTGTTAGAGAAAAGTTTCCTGTTCATCGGATGGAAGAAGTCGCCTGTAAGTGATCATATACGTGTGTTGAAGTGTTTTAAGTGTTGTGGTTATGGTCATACCGATATAAGCTGCAAATCTAATGTTGTATGTCCAAATTGCTCCCAAAATTATAAAGCTAAAGATTGTAAATCATTCCAATGCATAAATTGTCTTAATGTTAACAAAACTAGTAAGAAAGGTCTACCAACTGATCACGCGTCTTACTCTAGCTGTTGTGCTGTTTTCAAAAGCCATTTTGATAATTTGAGAAGTAGAATTAACTATGGCTGACATTATTAAATTTGTTCACTCTAATACCAGATCAATTCTTCCTTCAATGGCGGACCTTTCTTTCATGATTAATGATATGGATCTCGATGTAGTGGCTGTTACAGAAACATGGCTGTCTTCAGATATTCCAACAGTTCAGTAGATATTTCTGGTTATAACTTCCATCGTCGTGATCGTGGTAGTCGAGGAGGTGGGGTTGGCTGTTATGTCAAAAATCGCTTTTCATCAGAAATTCTATCGTTTGAGGAATATGATCGTACTTCTCTAGAAATGCTTTGGCTCAAGGTTCATATTGGCCGTAAATGTATTGTAGTTGGTGTTATTCATAGACCGCCTCGGGGAAGTTTGGATGTTGCAGTAAGTATATTAGATAATACGTTGTCCATCTTAGCACCGTCTAATGAACGCATCTTGGTACTTGGTGACCTCAACGTTAATTTCTTTATGGATAATAAGATTAATCAGTGCTTTCAATCTTACAGTCTGCACCAGTTATTGAATGGAGCAACTCGAATAATTGATCATTCTTCAACGCTTTTAGATCCGGTTTTCTTCAACTGTGCACAAAGATGTTCCAAAGTGGGAACTTTCACTGTTAACTTTAGTGACCATCAGGCTGTATATTCTGTCACATTTCGTGTAAAAACAATAAATCACCACCTAGACTAATTACATTTAGAGACTATCACAATTTTGATCTAACCTCTTTTGACGATGACTTTTTTAGCGTTAATTGGGCTGAAGTTATTTATATGGCTAATATCGATGAGAAAGTAAAATTCATTTCCGATAACATTGTAGGACTTTTTGACATACATGCACCACTAAAAATAGTGAGAGTCTCTAAGCCTCGTGCACCATGGCTCACAAACAATTTGAAAATGATAATGAAAGAACGAGATAAGGCTTTTGAACTGAGAAATTTTACAAAAACTGCTACACGTGCAGAGAAATCAGGCTACCTTCAACATCTATCTCGACAAAGAAACTCTGCAGCTCTTTATAAAGCTCTTAAGTCATTTAGAATTCAGGATTCTAGTAATACTGACATTCCAGATGATTTAGCAGTTCGCAATGAAATAAATAACTATTTTACCAGTATATTCCAGAAAAGTGACGATGATTGCTCAGAAACTATCGAATTTTATAACCATAACAAATTAAACCAAGATTTTCATTTTCAGTTCCGTTTTGTCGATATATCTACAGTATTGGATGCTATTCGCAGTATCAAGTCCAATTCTAGTGGTATTGATGGCATTACCATTGAGATGATTAAATTGTGTCTACCTGCTGTAGGAATATACATTTTGCACTTAATAAATCGTTGTTTAGAGCGCGGTGTTTTTCCAAGTGCTTGGAAGGAAGCATTAGTGCAACCTCTTCCAAAGATTCCCAATCCCCAGGTTCCTGATGACCTATTAGCTTGCTGTCAGCTCTATCAAAAATTCTAGAAAAAATAGTTTCTATGCAGTTGAATAAGTATTTACTCGAACGCTGCATCTTGCCATTAAATCAATCAGGCTTTAGAAAGGGTCACAGTACCACTACTGCTTTGGCACGGCTTTGTGACGATGTAGTAACAGCGGCGGATAGGCGAGAAGCAACTGCATTAGTCTTATTGGATTTCAGCAAGGCTTTTGACGCCCTGAATCATAAGCTGTTAGTTTCTAAATGTAAATACATTGGGTGTGAAGACTTGGTTCTGGAATGGATAGATTGCTATTTAAATGAACGACATCAATATGTCGTCATACAAAATAAACTTTCAGACAAAAGGCCGATTTGTTCCGGCGTGCCTCAGGGATCCATATTAGGTCCACTTTTATTCCTTATATACACCTTTGACATCTCTAACACCCTTCAACATTGTTCTAGTCAATCATATGCTCATGATATGCAGGTTTTTCATAATTTCTGCCCGAACAACTACCATTTAGCTAACAACCTTATCAATCAAGATCTGCAATACTTATGCACATATGCTGCAAAACATAATTTACGTCTAAACGCATCGAAATCGTCAGCTATACATTTTTGCTACAAGAAAAAACGTACTTTCCTCACATCAAAGTTAAATTTATCACTAAATAATAGTAGGTATCCTAATATTTTCCCATTCTGCAAAAAATTTAGGTTTGTACTTGGATGAAGATTTTAGATTTCAGGAGCATGTTGGCTATGTGCGTAAGTCTAGTTATTTTAGACTCAGGCTTCTATATGCACGTAAAACTGTTTTTAATAGAAAAATTAAGAAAATGTTATGCGAGTCATTCATACTCAGTAAAATCGCTTACTGCAATATAGTTTATTATCCCTGTCTGGATGAAATCACAAAATACAGACTGCAAAAAATTCAAAACTCATGTAGTCGTTACATAAACAATTTAAGAAGGCACGATCATGTTTCTCACTCAATATCTTCAATGAATTGATTGAAAATTTCTGATCTTTTCAAATACAACTTTGTTACATTTGTCGTAAAAATATTAAAAACTTCTGTTCCGGTTTATCTTATGCAAAAGCTTATTCGTAGGAATTTAATTCACAATTTGAATAAGCGCAACATTAATCTCCTGACAATGCCACAACATAGGACAGCCATCGCTGTTAACGGTCTTTTACGTATAATGCGGTGAAATTGATCAACTCTTTCGAACAATGTTTCATCAGCAACTTTTCTAAAAAAAAATATAAGAACTACTTATTGAGTTCTTAGGTTATTGTCTTCTCTTTGAATCGTACGTATTATGTTTTTTGTTCTAACCGTACGCATTATGTCATATTTATTAATTCTTCTTTTACTATTATTCTTCTTTTTCCTTTTCTTTTTCAGTTTTTTATTTTATTTTTAAGGTAGTAATAAGCTTTGAGATGACATTTATGGTTAAGTATAAAAATGGCCATTGGCCAGACTTCGCCATTTGTAAGGATACATAATTATGTATGTGTTACAATAAAGTCCATTGAATTGAATTGAATTGAAATGAAATGAAATAATCCGATTTATAACATCTGTACTATACGTATATACGAGAACAAACAGACAGACGGATCGAAATTACAGGCATGAGATGTCAAGAATACAGAATATCCAAAACAGACATTGGGGCTGGTTATTCTTCAACCTCTGTGGAACTTCTAGACTTTCTCCTATTATTGCCTTTAAAATTCATTGTATCCTATCTGGTTGATGCCAGCTTGAAAAAAAACATAGAAGGTGCCCAGAAATCCTCAGAAAGGCAATATTTTTGTATATGAGAACAAAATAAGTACGTGGCATTCATAATCAACTAGTGTACATAAACATAAAAAAAATGTTTATGCTTAGGAACTGTTATTAATATGACATGTTTGATAAGTGAACAAATAACTGTTTTTGTTAAATAACGTGATCGATGTGATATTTTGTAATTGTAATCATAAGCACGGCAGCATATGCAATAGAAAAAATCTTGGAATTTCGATACATTGGTTTTTAGTCATTCCAGTATTTTTGATACAGTAGGTGAGCCACCATGTAAATAGTACATAGTATAGGAGCATCCTAAAGGCAAGCAAATTTATAATAGCCATCTACCCATTATTTACACGTTCCAGCAGGCACAACTTCCTCGTATCCACTCAATGCGAAACTTGGACAAAGACGCAGTGTGCCATGGGCCCATTCAGATGTTTCGATTGTCGATTCCACGAGCATATTTGCAGGAGAACCTCCCGAGACGGCTGAATGCTCGATAAGGGGACAATAGAATAGTACCGATCTGCTCAAATGCTTGCCAACTGGTAACTACGTATAGCAGCAATATTTTCTATTAAAATTTTTTAGAACGAAATACTCTGAACACATCTCGTTCTCAAATCTTATACCTAAATCATGCACCTCGTGAAATATGCAGATCTAAACTTGTTGAAACTCATTTATGTGTGATCTATAGAAAAAGTGGCGTCAAGTAGGTTGACTCTATACTTACTGTACGCAGATTGTATCGTATCCCGTATGTTTACTATTGGGCGGAAGCCGTACAGAGGCCATGCAATATAATGAATATGACTGGAGAAATGTTCAAAAAGTAAGTAGGATGTGCTCCTTTTTGAAAAGCACTGAATATTTAAAGTACTTACAAAAACAGGAAAGCGTTAAGCCGGTTTCACGTATCTTCCTTCCTCTCGAAGAGTATGGGCCTACACGTGCCCTCGCTTGGAGTAGGCCCCGGCTGCTGACAGCTAAGGCCCGGTTCACACGTACCGCTGAATCCCAGCTCACCTCCACACGGTTCGCCCTCGGTTTTGGCACATTCTTGGCAACATCTGGAACAAAAAACACACGTGAAGGAAGCAATCACGAGATTTAGATGCTAGATTCCGTATAACAATTTTTTTGCAAACACCATTGCTTGTGTGCCGATCAAGTATTGGCTGG